GGTTGGTTCTTTGTTCACTTATACTCGAAAAAAGCGCAGATATCAAGAAATTAGCGAGAAAGGCAACTACAACTAAAGCAACATTCCCTTTCAGCACTTTTACGACAGCTCCCTTTCGTGCCAGGTGTAATGAATGCCACGGTTTTTTCAATTGACCAGGAAAGGTTCGAAGTGACCATCTGCAGTGAGACCTTGAACCGCTGGATGTGTTTTTGGACGCTGATCTCGAATCTGCTTTCCAAATCTGCCAATCGATTTTCTGAACGGAGTTATGAAGCAAAATAGAGCAGCGGTAGTGGTCCGGGCTCACGGCGAGAGGTCGTAGGATCGATTCCCTGCCTGGTGACTTGGCTACAAATTGACTTTATACCAGAAACACGGAAATCACATCTGTCTGCTACAGAAACGTCTGTCAAGAGTTCTGCGGGCTCCATGTGCAGTCGTTAGCAAGTAGCGCCCAAACTTTTAGGAACTCCTCGCAAACTCTTTGCACGGGTAACTATAGGCAAGCATTGATCAAGTACGTACATAGTTGGGAGCCTTTTTCAATCATTTTGCAGCGAAGGCAAATCGGGAGAACCCGCCAGGGAATCGATCCTATGACCACTCGCCTGTGAGCCCGGACCACTACCGTTGCTCTGTTTCGGTTCATAACTCCTTTCAGGACAGATGACAGATCCCATACGGCCGCTTTCCTCATTATCCTTTCCGGTGAGTCAGGTCTACGGTAGGGCCGAATCTGTCTAGGAAAGGGCATGGATGGCACAGAGCGGTCAAATCTTTTGGAACCACGACAAAGAGTCCCATTCTAAAACTTGCACAGCCTCTTTCTTGCAAATGTCAACATTCGGAAACCTAATTCTTCTACGAAATGTCGCATTACTATTGCTGAGACGAATTGGTCCGCCGCGGTGCCCCTTCCCTACCCCCTACCCCTCAATTACTCTTGCACCCACGCCCGTTACGCTGTGGTTATGTCCAGTTCTACTATTAAAAATCGAATTGATCTTTGGCACTTCCATTGCCGTGGGCGACGAGATGATCCCTTATGATGAAAGTGTGAGTGAACGGAAGCTCGTGAACAAGACGAAAACAGCGCGATATCTCGGTTTAGCCGCCCGTTGAACTAGAGGTAAAACTCGCTATATTTTGAATAGGGCAGAAGGCAAGCTCGCTAAGTGAATATAAAGAGCGCTCCCACACTCAGCGTTCAACGAGGGCGATCATAGAATAGACGAATTAGAAAAAGGACTGAATGGGTCTCGACCGTTTTATCGTGCTTGATAGGAGAATCGTAGGATCGTTCAATACGTGAATATTCACATTAGCAGATTCTCGGATTCTTCCTTTTTCGGGTGTCGGAATTGTATTTCCTCCCTTCTTGGTTTCTCCGATTCTCCTCAAACAATGAGTGCGAACAAGGCCGGACCAGAGTAAGCGTTCCTACAAAATGTTCGCGTGGGGTCGTATTTTCTAAGTAGAAGGAGTCGTGCTCACGGAGGCTCGCTGTTCGGGGATCCGGAATCACTACCATGTTTGATAGAAGTGCAGGATTAGACTAAGTATCGGCTTAGATTATTAGTATTTGTCATGGGGAATTTGCGAGGATGGGGAAGGTTGTATGGGGAGACCCTTCCTAAGGTGGTTAGCTGGTAGAGATGGGGGAAAACGTTGTCGCGACCCCTTCGACAGGATGGTGGTGAAAATTTTCGACTAGTACTGCTGGTGGTTGTTCCTGGACCTACATCGCGAGGAGAATTTCAGTTTTTCTTTGGGGTCAGGTCACCAGAGCTGCGCGATCATTGAAGCCTAAGGTTAAGCTTGGGTTTAGGCTTAGGCTTATGCTTACACATTGGCTTATGCTTAAGCCTATGATTGGGCCTAGGCTTAGTCCTAAGCTTGCTCCGAGCAAATGAGTGGTGTCTCAATTTTAGGTGACCTGACCTGAGGAGGAGAATTGCGAGAATTGCAACGCACCCTTTCCACGCCGCGGTAATATGGTTTCCCACCCTCACTCTCCAATAAAGCTTATAAGTCGGATTACTGTACAAGTTCTGCCACTGACTTTGTCGCTTCATTTTTCAAACAATTCTGGACCGAATGTGACCTCCTGGAATTCTGCAGCTCTCGGTGTATTTGCAATGGGGAGTGGGGGCAAGTCGTTGAGAGTAGCTGTACTTTCTCACGCACGTGCAACAGCCCTTCCTTCAAGTGATTCCTATAACACCTAAGGGAACATGATTTCTCAACTATAATTGAATTCCGAATTAACCCGTGAAAGTAAATAAGGTTTTCTGATGTCTACCTGAAAATACCGTACTCTGTTTCCCGAGTGGGATGGAGTGGGAAACGGGACGCTGGCCCCGACAACAGAATGGATATTGAATGTGTTCTTGAGTGCTCACGATGTTGGTGTCACGTGATGCCAAGTGCTGAGAACGCAATTACGACTGAACTTCTGACGGGAGGTCGAGTTCAAGTGTTCGTTTTTTTTGGATTAGGGGGAGGAAGGGGAGGTAAGCAAACCAGCCCTTTTGGCGTTTCGGCTGGGACCGTATGCTGAATGTTGGGGAGGGGATGGGGTCCCCAACGGTCGACGGTTTACTTCAACTCGGTTGGTACGATAGGAGAGTACTGACGCAAGTGGTGCAGCTGGTCCAGCAGCTCCGCCAGAAGGGCTGGTTTGCTCACCCCAGGACTAAGCCTTGGAGAGGGGACGGACCCGTCCTCTCTTTAAGGCTTAGTTCTGAGGTAAGCACCAAATTGTGGCGGTTCTAAGGACCGAGTTGAAGTGGTCCGTCCACGTCGGGGACTCCATCCCCTCCCCAACATTCAGCATACGGTCCCAGCCGAAGCGCCAAAAGGGCTGGTTTGCTTACGTCAGGAAGGAAGGGGGTGGGGTTGGAGATAGACGCTATTCGTCGTATATTGTAGGTATTCATGAATAAATAATAATAATGTCACAAAAAAACTAGATGCTTACAAATACATACTATTCAAATCACTGTAAGTACCTTTGTAGTCGGGGAATGCGATAGTGATGTTCACTCGTTTGATCTTCTCAGCAAACAGGTCCTTTTTATTGAGGAAGAGAATCATGGAGGTGTTGATGAACCATCGGCTATTGCAAATTGATTCAAACAGTCGCATCGATTCAACCATTCGATTCTGAAACATTATCATAATTATTACTTGAAATAGTGAATATGTGTAAAAGTTCTGATCCATTCCCGGGCGTGCCGACTTTTCCTCCCAGTACAGTCTTGGAGGAGGATTCAGTTGGGTCTTATTGTAAGGTGATTTGTAACACTATTTACTGAGGCTCAATCCACTCTTTGTGCGAAATGTGACGGCTTTCGGGTTCAAAAATGTGCAGGATATTGAAAACAGCTCTACCATGAGCC